CCACCACCTCCACGGCCCGCCACAGTAGATTGCCCAGGCAGCCCAGCAGCGTCATGGCGGCCACGCCCCCTGTCCGCGCCCCGCAGCATCATCTACACGCAACGGGGCGCAAGGCGGAGTCTTGTCCCCGCTGCCCAGCTGCCATGTCCTTGGCTGCGCTGATCTGCACAGGCTGCGCCCGGGGTGACTCTCCTCCGGGGGGGCTGCTGGTGAGGAAGGGGCCATGGGCGGTGGCGGAGCTGAGACAACGGCGTGCGAGCCCACAGAGAGGGCTCTGAGTGCCGCCTCTGGCACCTGTGCCATAGGTTCGCCGCCACTGTTGTAGGGTAACAGTGATGGCCTCTCCAAGTCCCAGCAGATACTAAACAACATCAAGGCAGGATAATCTTGAGTTTCTTTCTCACGCCTCCTTCACTCGCTCAACTGCACAAGCGGCGCAGCTTTTTCACGCCTTCCCCAAGTCAGCTGTAAATTCTTCCACACACCTCAAGGATGGGCCAGCCCCACCAAGGTCCTGGACCGCCAGCCAGGGTGTGAAACGAGGGGCTGAACGAGACCGATTCCGGACCAAGCTAGCTTTCCATGTTTGGATTCTCCTTCCGAAACCTGCCACGGGTCCACGACGGAAAGCCAAAACGCCGGTCTTAGCCCCCAGAAAGCTACGCCAGCACGGTTCCTCTCGAATCACTTGCTCACATTTTGGAAACAGGCACACTCACACATGCGCAGGTGGGTCCCATCCACGCCTGTCCCCCCCCCCTTGCCCTAAAGGCCCTGAATCAGTGCTCCCCTTGGAAATGGCAAAGAGGTGAAGCCAGCAAAGGGGGGGTGGGGTGGGGGTGGTGTCATGCAAGGCCGAGAGAGGGGAGGGGTCTTGGAAGAATACGGGAGAAGAATACGGGGAGAAAGGGGTAGAACGTATACAACACAGAGAGTGTTAGTTTCAGCCCCAGAGAGATGCTCAGAAAAATAAAACTTGGCGACGGAAGCAGCCCAGCCTCGCAGGCCATGCAAGAAGGCGGCCGGCAGCTGGTCCCCAGGGGGCACTAGGGGGCAGCCAGGTTTTTAGGTTCCCAGGACCAGCACCCGTCCACCAACCAGGGTGTCATGGGGGTGAGTCCCTCTTTTAGTCCCCAAAAGCAAAGAGGAATGGAGCAAGGAAGCTCAGACAACCCCCCCTCCCCATTCTGCGAATTGGAGCACCATTGCAAGACAGTTTTGCAAGAGGGGGATTATCCCCATCCTCCCCCTCCGTGCCACAAGCCCGCGTGGCTGAAAAATCGGGGCGGGGGCGGTGTTTTTCCGGGCCTTCCCCTCTCGATCCGCCTGGCTGCCCTTTGGGGGCTTCCCTGGGGGGCAGCTGGGGGACCCAGCGTAGGTGCAACAGCGCACAGAAGTTGCTTCATGGGATGGTGTTTTCCATGGATTTTGGGGGTGGGGAGGGAGGGGGAGGGCGGGGAGGGGAGGAGGAAAAAAAAATCCAAAGCATAAAAAAGAAACTTCTTCAACCAATTTTTTTTTTCCCCCTTAAATATTGTTGGCTCTTCTGATTTTTCAAGGGCGGCTGGGTAAAAATCAAATCAGATTTGGGGGGGGGGGCTGTGTAGGTTTAGATTGTTGCCGCGTTGGTGGGGAGGGAGGGCTGAAAGTGTGGGGGCCGCAGTAGCAGATCTGGATTCGAGTACCTTCCTTACTCACTGAAGCTCCTGTCGGACTTGGGGGCAAATCTCTATTGCCTAGTCATTCTACCCCACAGGGTTGTTGTTGCGAGGAGAAATGGGAGGAGGCGGAGGGAGTGTAAGTTGGATCTCTTGAAGATCAGACATCTAGCAAATATATCAGTAATCACATTAGCCCAGGGGTAGGCAACCTTGGCTCTTTTATGACTCGTGGACTTCAATTCCCAGAATTCCTGAGCCAGCCAAGCTGGCTCAGGAATTCTGGGAGTTGAAGTCCACGAGTCATAAAAGAGCCAAGGTTGCCTACCCCTGCATTAGCCCATCGGGGCCATGGCTGATGGGGGGGTGCTGCTCCGGGAGCCGAAGACTATCATGTTCTGTTGCCAAGATGTGGCATTTAGGGGCTACAGCCTGAGCAGTGGCCATGGATGATGGGATTTGCAGTCCAACAATATCTTGGAAGTCTCAGTTGTCTGAGTCTCTTTTGCTTTTCAGCACTTCCATTTCCCTTTTCGGCTACGACTCAGTGGCTGCCTTTTCTCAGCCTGGTGCCTTCTGGATATGTTGGAGAACAAGGTCCATCATCTGCTACCGGCATGGGAATTGTAGTCAAGAGGGTGGCTTGGTCTTTTAAAGTCTCCTTAGGACTTTAAAAGATACTAACTGATTTAATATTTAGGATTTAGACTTATACGGGAACGAAAAAAATAGTTACTAGAAAAGGGGAAAAAAATGGCGGACTGTGTTGTTTGGCGACCCCCGTGAAATGGTCGTTCGACCCCAAATGGGGTCCCGACCCACAGGTTGAGAACCACTGTTCTGGAGTGTTTTTCCTTGAAAACGTTTCGCTTCTCATCCAAGGAGCTTCCTCAGTTCGTCCGACGTTGAAGATGAACTGAAGAAGCTTTTCGGATGAGAAGCGAAACGTTCTCAAGGGGGGGGGGGGAAACCCCCAAGAAAGTCCCAGTCATCTTTTTGGAAAAAGCATGTTGGGAATCCCTTTTCAAGCTGACCAACGTTAGGAGTCGAAGCGCTTTGGATTCGTTCCCTGGAAAGCAGCTAGCGGTGCCAAATGGCATTTGGGGGGAAAGTCCAGCTGTTCCTCTTTCTGGGAATCCCGTGGCCGCTGCGGAGGGCAGACACGCAATTCCAGAAAAGAGGCATCTACCTGCTCTTAAGAACTTCAGCCAGGTGCTGCATCTGAAATGCTGCTTAAAGCACGACTGGAACTGGAACTTCTATTGCTAAGCAGTGCAGTCATCAAGTGAACCGTGTCCAATTTTATTACCTTTTTGATGCGGTCGTTAAATGCATCACATAGTCCTTAAGTGAATTTGGCTTCCCCTTATTGGAAGCCCCCCTGGGAAGGTCTGCAATGGCAATCACCTGACTCCCCGGAGGCTACAATTGTCATACATACAGGCCAGTTGCCGGGCACCTGGATTTTGATCACATGACTGTAGGGAGGCTGCTGCAATGGCCATAAGTGCAAGGACTGGCGCAAGTCATTTTTTTCCGGCCCCGTCATAACTTGGGACGGTCGTTAAAAGAATGGTTGAGGACTACCTGCAGCTGAATCCAAAGCGTTCAATGGCCTGATTAAATACGGTTCCACTGCTGGTTGTATTATTTCACGGACTGGGTTTCCTGTCTTATTATCCTGGGTTTTAAGCTTTCAGTTGCTTTATATTTTGCATTAAAAAAAATTGTAGCTCACACAGGGAAAGTGTCTGTTATCAATCCACGACACGAACAAAAATTCATAATTGTGACCGCAGGCTGTTAGGTCTGGCTGGTTCAATTTATAGACAATTTTTGGTACCAACCAGAGTTTTCACCTATTACCGCTGCACAGCTTTTATTGGTGCTTTTGTTATTATTTTGTTGGCTGGTTTTTTTTTAACTCGTCAATTTCAACCCGTGCTTGTTTTCTGCATAGCATTTCTTTATAAAGATTGATTTGTTATCCAGAAAACAGGAAATGCGAAGGAATTTTTTATGTTATTTATTATATTATTTGTTGTTTTATACATTTAGTCGTGTCCAACTCTGGGCGACTTTACAGCCAAGTGGTTATATTATATTTATATTATTATATTATATTATATTTATATTATATTTATATTATATTATATTATATTATATTATATTATATTATATATTATGTTATATGATATGATATGATATGATATATTATATTATATTATATTATATTATATTATATTATATTATATTATATTGTTAATTATGTTATATGATATGATATGATATATTATAATTATATTATATTATTATATTATATTAATTATATTATATTATGTTATTATTATATTATATTAATTATATTATATTAATTATATCATATTATATTATTATATTATTATGTCATATCATATATCATCATATCATATTATATTATTATATTATTAAACTACACCACACTACACTACATTATATTATTATATTAATTCTATATTTTTATATTATATTACACTACACTACATTACATTTTATTATTATTTATATTTGTTTATCAATGTTGTTTGCTGCCCACCTTGCCGCAATATTATGCTATGCACCCTAATTTGGTATCTCTCCACCTAGGCAACACTGAGAGGTGCGCTCTTCAACTCCCAGAATTCCAGAGCCAATATGGCCGGCTGAGGAATTCTGGGAGTTGAAGCGCACCGTTCCCAAAGTTGTGCCTAAGTGGAGAACCAGGGCTCTAATTAAATAGTTGTGACTGTGGCAATCTATAGTCTATCTCACTTGCTGGTTCTGTTGTGAACATCCCTGCTTCTGAAGGTTTTTACAACCATCAGCTCCGCAGAGTTCTGCATACGGCATGGCTTTAATCAGGGTTATTTTTGATGCCGATAAATTCACCTCCAATGGAACTGAGCAAACCACTCAATAGTTTTTACAATTTTTTAAAGGGGGTTAATGCAGAGCAGGGCAGCTGGCGCGCCTTTTCTCTTGGAAAGAGATTCCCTGCAAAAGAAGCGGAGGGATAAGCAGAGGGCTAACGTGGGGAGGTCAGCCACTGCAAATTGTGGTTGCCTAGATTGGCTGAAAATTACACAAAGACAGGGGACACAACAGAAAGCCTCCCCCGGAGCCTCCTCAGTGAGATAAAATCCATGTCTTTCCGCCAAGGCGGGTGTGCAGGCTTGCCCAGCAGTGTGTCTTTAGATTTCCAAAAAGCAAAAGTAATTTTTTTTTTCAAAAATAATAATAATAATTTAAAAAATAAGGAAAGGGGAAGGGGAGAGGGTAAAACCCACGGCAAACCAAATGATTAGACAATAGACTGATATCTACCAGATAATGCAGTTTGTTTACCATAGCGTGTCCAATTCCTGCGTGCTGTATGCATTTAAAAACGGAAAGAAAATGAAAAAACAAACAAACAAAAATCGAGAAGGGAAGGGAAGGGAATAAACAGAAAAAAAAAATAATGACCAACCATGAAAATTCGATATATTTAAAAAACAAAACAAAACAGAAAAAAAGGAGAAATGAATTTCTCCAGTTTCTGAGACCAGCAAAAAACTAAAAATGGAAGATACTGAATTCACACAACCCTTTCCCCACAAAGTCACCCCTCCCACCCACCCACCCACCGTCCTCCCAGCCACCCACCCACCCAGACTTTCTTAACCTGGGTTAGTAAGGAGAGAACGGAACAAAATGAACAACTGGGGGAAAAGGGAAAGAAAGAAAGGAGGGAAGGAAGGAAGGAAGAAAGAAACCGACATTCCGCGAATGGCACAGAGGTTAGTTATCCCTTCTTGGACAGTTTTGGGGAGATTTCCCCCCCCCCGGCCGCTGCACAACACACCGCCCCACCCCCTGAAGCGTGTTAGTAACACACAACGACAAAAGTTGCCAACGCAATTTCTAACAAGGTGGTTTAGGAAGGTGGGAGGTTGAGGGTGGGGTGGGGTGGGGAGTGAAAAGGATGGAGGATCAAAGCACAGGGCCATGTTAGCAATATTAGTATTTCCAAGGAGCCCAGATCTAGGGAGGGGAGGGGGTGGGGGTGGGGGGGGTGGCCTGGGCCTGGCCAGAGACGGTGTTTGGGTCAGGCCGGTGGGGGCCAAGGCTGTGTCAGCCACTGCTGGGAGATAAAAGCTTAGATCTCAGTGGATTTGGGAGAAAGAGCTAGAGGAGAAGAGAGAGAGAGAGAGAGAAAGCGTAGGCAAGGATGCCCAGTTGGGGAAGCAGACCGTGGGGGGCACGTCCCTGCCCCCTTCCCGGTCCTTCCCCATGTAGAAATCAAGGCCAAGTTGCTGCTTTGGGGGAACAAGGTTAAGAAGAGGAGAAAAAAATCCATCTGGGGGGGGAGATTTAGCAGAAAAAGGAGAGCGGCACAGCTGCAAAACTGAGTTAGGGGGAGATCCGGTTCTGTGAAACCCAAGGGCTGCGCGTGGGGCAGAGGCCCACTGCTTCGCCACCAGGCTCGGTGCTCCTCTGGGTAATAAGCCACGCACCTTCTTTGCTGAGCAAGAAAAGACAAAACCCCTCTCCATTGGATCAGACACCTGTTTTCCTTCTCCCTCCTCCACGCTTCTTCCTCGTCTACCGGCTATCCCAGTGATGGCGAACCTTTTAGAGACTGAGTGCCCAAAAACTGCCCCCGCCTCTGGCCGGCCTGCCCGCCCACAGCGCCACCCACCGCCTCTACAGCCCACCGCAGATCACCCAGGCGGCCCAGCAGTGCCATGGCAGCCACGTCCTCCGCCCGCACCCTGCAGCATCAACTGCGCGTGACGGGTACGAGGGCAAAGTCTTGTCCCTGCTGGCGAGAAAGGGGCTGCAGGGGGAGGCGGGTCTGGGGCGATGGCACGCGTGCCCACAGAGAGGGCTCTGAGTGCCGCCTCTGGCACGCGTGCCACAGGTTCGTCACCACTGGTCTATCCCGTTCTGCTCAGTTTTAACTTCCACCAACTTCCCAAATAGGGTTTTTTTCAAGAAAGGGGGGGGGGAAATAATAACTCCATCCTGATCTCTTACTGTAGGCCTTGGGGAAAGGGCAGGGGGTGTTTCCCAGTTTCTTTTTATGCAATTGCGCTTTTTTTTTTAAAGAGCATTTGTTTAAAAGCTCCAGACTGTCCTATTTCATTATTAACACTTCCTGGCACCTCCCTCTTCCCTGCTCTGGATTTTCCAGCCTCCAGCTATCATTACAGAGTATGGATTTTTAATCAGATCAGCTGTTTTTTTAAACAACAGCCCTGCAAACTCCCCATTGGGAGGCCCACCACCCATTCTTTCCAGAATTCGCTGCCTACCGCAGGTGGGCTGTGTTTTCCAGGTGACCAGTTCTGCAACTGGGTGAAGTTTGAGCTACTTTGGGCAGATTGGGGGGGGGGGGTGGTTTCCCCCTCACTGCATGCCCAAAATATACCTGAAATGAGTTAGGGGCAAGGCCAGCCATTTATTCAAGGGCCCCAAAGCCCCTCACTCAGTATGCCGTGCATTATGTTCCTTGCTGCCTTATGCCGTGCACTATGTTCCTTGGAGCATACCTTCACACCTATAGCTTTAGCTAAACTGTGGGTGTCCCTTTGCCAATTGGTTCTGGAAAGGTCTATATACCATCATTTCACAACCTTAGCAATTTTAAGAGGTGTGGACTTCAACTCCCAGAATTCCCCCGCCAGCGTGTCTCGATTTCAACTCTCAGAATTCCCCAGCCAGCAAGTTTGGACTTCAGCATGTTGGCTGGGCAATTCTGGGAGTTGAAGTCCACATGTCTTGGAAGTTGCCAAAGTTGAGAAACACTGGCCTATACAGAGATAGAGAGAGAGAGCCCCACTTGTTATTTTACCCTTAGATTTCACAGAATTCTCTTCTTTCTTCCCCACATGCCAAACATCAAGGCCAAAACAACCCTTTATGTTCAAGGCCACGTTTTGCTACTGGGCATCATGGGTTACAGACCCCGGAAAAACGGACTTGCTTCAAGTCCAGACATCATCAGAAAAAAAAGTCAGAAAAATGGGGTTAAAACATTCAACTGGCCTCGGCAATTACCATGTCGTGTAACTTAAAATAAAGTCGTTTTCCGGGTATCAAGCTGCTTTATACAACTTGGTAGAAATGAAAGACCTGTGGCTGCAATGGGGGAACACGCTGCCCATAGGTCACGCGACACTAAAATGCAGCGAGGCAATTTGCTCCTTTTCGTACTTTAAAAGAAAGAGTAAAATGGCTGATTTGGGATTATTTTGCTCTTTCTTTAAAAACCCACAAAATCGGGGAGAGCTGAAAATTGCAGTGTCACTCCCCTCGCGTTGCTGCCACAGATCCTGCAGCCGTCAACAGTGATAACAACAGTAAGAGTAACCGTAACAATAACGCTTGCCCCAGCTGAAAAGACTGACGTCCCTTGCAAGAGAGTAAAACTTTGGATTTAACAGACAGTTGAAGGCTGTCTGTTAAATCCAAAAGTTTGGAACCGAAGTCATTTGCACAGTTACCTAATTACGCAAATGTCGTACACGGAGACTAACGGTATAAGAATACCAATAATTGTGCAAATGATGTAAATGGCACACACAAGTTTCCAGACATGGCTTTGGAAATAAAAGAACCGGTCTGTTATTTCAGATGTGTCTCCATTCCAAAGTTCCTTCGCATAAGATTAAAACTCGGGCGCTTTGGAAATTTGTCTCCCTTTTACCGAAAGTAACACAACCCGTTGCCGAGAAGCAGTGCTAGAGAATTTAGCCAGCCTCTCGGGTTTTGTATCCCAAATGGGGGAACTGTTGTTGTTGTTATTGTTGTTGTTGTTTTAAAAAAAGTCTCTTGCTGGTGTCTGGTATATGGGGAAAATCTGCACAGCAACTCAAAAAAAAAAAAAAAGGATTCCTGATGCAGTTCCAAGCCGGGCGTGTGGCCCCCATCCTCCCAGCCCCTCCCACGGACTGAGACTGCACGGGCAGCAGCCGCTCACCTGGCGCAGGTTTCTAGTCACACGGATGTCGTGCCAGTTGTTGTCATTGAACTTCCCGTTCACGGGCTCCACCAGAGCCTCGAAGGCGCCGGAGCCCAGGTTGATCACCAGCCAGACGGCGCCGCTCTTGAGCGAGAGGTTGACGTAGTCGGCCGACTTCCCGGTGTGGAGCATCAGGCCGTTGCGCTGGAGGGTGCGGAAGGAGAGGGTGATCTCGTCGGTGCTGCTCTGGATGGGGTTGTGCGAAAGGTCGTAGCAGAAGAATTCGTTCCCTTTGAAGGTCGCCACGAATTCCTCTTTCCCTGCAGAGGAGACACGAGCGGGCGGGAAGGGAGGTTGAGCCGGGGTTAGGGATTCACACGCTCACCGGGAGACGATCGCCCGCTAGAGGAGAACACGGGGGTCCTCGACTTACGACCACAACGGAGCCCAGAATTTATGTTGCTAAGCGAGACATTTGCTAAGTGAGTTTTTGCCCCATGTTGACGACTTTTCTTGCCATGGTCGTTAAAGGAATCACAGCCCTAGAGAATGAATATCTGGCTCTCCATAGCCAAAGACTCCCAAGAAAAGATGAAACCGGTTACATGATGCCCCCTGGTGGTCAATGTAACTATGTGAACTCAGGGGAAAAAATGTACACTATATACCAGTGATGGCGAACCTTTTAGAGACCGAGTGCCCAACGGCAACCCAAAACCCACTTATTTATTGCAAAGTGCCAGGGCTGCATCAGCATTGTGGTGCCCTTGGGGGGAGGTGGCCCACTGGATGGGCATGGCTGCAATAGTCACGGCAGATTGGGTGAGCGTGGCCGGGGCCAGTCCCTTGCCATCTCCGGGGCATCCCTGGGGGGGGCCAACGCCTCTTGCTCACTCACTTCCTGCCCTGTCACTTCCAAATGCCAAGTGCTCGCTATTCTGGTGAACTCTGCTGGGGCAACGGTGCGCGTGCCCACAGAGAGGACTCTGAGTGCCGGCTCTGGCACCCGTGCCACAGGTTCGCCACCACTGCTATATACAGCAGGGGTCTCCAACCTTGGCGACTTTAAGACTTGTGGACTTCAACTCCCAGAATTCTGGGAGTTGAAGTCCACAATCTGAAAGTTGCCACGGTTGAGGACCCCTGCCCTACCAGACAAATGTGTTTGCACTGCATTTCACAAGGAGTGGAAGCTGTCCATTGAACTTCTCTCTTTTTTGAAAGTTTAATTTGGAGACCTTCAACAATATGAATATTTCATAGGGATATTCAGTTCTGGTCCTCAGTTGTACTCTGTGGCTGGGCTACCTAGGACTCGTAGCTCAGTAACGTCTGGATAACTCTCTTCTGATTCTTGCTTTAAGCAGTGCTTCTCAACCTTAGCAACTTAAAGATGGATGGACTTCCGCTCCCAGAGCAGAACTGGCTGGAGAATTCTGGGAATTGAAGTCCACCTATCTTCAAGCTGCTAAGGCTGAGAAACACTTATTTAAAGGGATGATAGGGAACTGCTTAGGCTGGACCCAACAGATTAAAACAGAAAACCTATCAGGCTCCCAGGCCAGTTGGCGGAGGCAGGTTTAATTTGATTTCGGGATAAGCGACATTATGAACAGTGCAGAAAAGGTGTAACAAACAACCAGCCAAAAGAAGACAGAGCTAAAACCCATTTACACCAACCCCCATTCAGTTTTATTCTTGAAATAATAGCACCTAGATTTATATACCACTTCACAATGCTTTGCAGCCCTCTTTAAGTGGTTCAAAAGTATCAGCATCTTTGCCCCCCCCCCAAAAAAAGTCTGGGTCCTCATTTTACCAACCTCGGAAGGATGGAAGGCTGAGTCAACCTTCATCTGGTCAGGATCGAACTGCTGGGAGTGGGCAGAGTTAGCCTGCAATACTGCATTCTAACCACTGCACCATCATAGCAATGGAATGGAATGGAATGGAATGGAATGGAATAGAATAGAATAGAATAGAATAGAATAGAATAGAATAGAATAGAATAGAATAGAATTAGCACTTAGACTTATATACTGCTTTATGGTGCTTCACAGTCCTCTCCAAGCAGTTTACAGCCTCTTGCCCCCAACAATCTGGGTCCTCATTTTACCGACCTCGGAAGGACGGAAGGCTGCGTCAACCTTGCGCTGGTCAAGATCAAACTCCTGGCAGTGGGCAGAGTCAGCCTTAAAACTGCATTTAACCACTGCACCACCAGGACTAACTCTCAGCCCGGGACTCCTTAACCTGCTGCCTCTGGTCCTTGAATCTTCTGCCCTCTCTTTCAGGATCCCACTCCCGCTCCACCCACAATTTACTCAGTGTGGCTCAATCTCTCTGCCCCCTCCTCCCCTTATTTCTTTAGAGATTTGATCCTCACTGCTTCTCTCTCTCTCTTAACAGCCACCCATCACAGCAGACTTTTCTTTTTTCCTCCCAGTTATATTTGCCGAGCCCCCATTCGTCCTTGACCCTCTCTCTTCATCTTCTTTGACCGCACACATTTCTTAAGTACCCCATTACACTTAACTTACTTTTATGTTTCCCTCGATGTGGCCAAGTCTCGCTTCCATACATCAAAGTCGACAGAAGCACACTTACCCAGCCGTTTCCCCTCCTTTTCAGCCACACCATTCCTTTCTCAAACCACACGTGTCCCAGCTCCCTGTTCTGCCGGCATATGCACATCTTGACACGTCTCCATTTATTTTCCCATCTTTAGTAGTGTCAACTTTTAACAAAACAGGCAAATTCATCTCCTCGAGTATTTGTGGAGAACTTGCAATTGTTCACGCCGTTTCCCCAGTGAAACGTGATCTGATCATGTATTGTCCGACCCTTCATCCTCCTGGCGTCACTCGGTCTCTCTAAAATTCAACGCAAACCATTCAGCCTCTCCTTCATTTGCTTTTGTGCAGGAGCGCAGGTGTATTCACATTCCTGACACGCTCACCTGTGACACCTGAAAAAGCATGTCTTATCCATTTATCCTTCAACAACATTTACCAGCCAACCAGATATCACACGTCTTTGTCTTGTTGCCTGATTTTGAACCATTTGCTAAGCATCCTGTTGAGGCTCTCTCGGGCTTTTATTCCCATCCTATCCGGCTCTTACGGCACACGGCACCAGCCTGCAACTCCATTTTCCCTCTGAAAATCCCATTAGCTCAAGCCTGTTACTTGATCCTATCCTTTCTCTTCACCAGCCACTAGACAATAAACAAACGCCCATTCAGGCATCTATCTCATAACTGCCTGAACAAATCCTGATCTATAAACACTACAGTTCCTCGTTTCGCTAAAGGATCGTTGTTCATATTTTGCGTCGGTGTAACTCCATCCACCACTTGGGCCCTTTGTCACACCTAATGATTTTCACTGCTTCCGAGAAGCGTCCACTTCCTCTTCCTGTCCAACTTCCACTGAAACTATTGGGAAAGGGCAGGTGGTCCTCGATTTACAACCGATCACTTAGCGACAGTTCAAAGGTACGACCCTCCGAAAGGTATGAGGGCTGCACCCACCCCTCCCACCCCACTGTCATGTGATCATATTTTGGGCATTGGGCCGCTGGCTCACCTTTATAGCCGTTTGCAGGGTGCCCCGCAGGTCACATGACTGCAATTTCCGATAGTTTTTGCCAATTTCTGGGGTTTGCTCTCGGTTTCCAGCAAAAAAAAAAAAAAAAAAAAGAGCCTGCTGGATATAACAGCTTAGCTTAGCAATCACATCATTTGCTTAATGAGCACTGCAAAAACCTATCGTAAAGTTGGGTCTGGCCGTGACCAAAACGACTTAATGACTGAACTTGTGGGCTCAACTGTAGGCTGCAAGGCTACCAATAATTTTTTAAATTTTTATTTAATAAGGAGGAAGTCACAGCTTTTATTTTCCTGGGCTCCAAGATCACTGTAGATGGGGACTGCAGCCAAGAAATTAGAAAAGGCTTGCTCCTGGGGAGGAAAGCCATGGCAAATCTAGACAGCACACTAAAAAGCAGAGACATCACCCTGCCAACAAAAGTGTGTATAGTCCAGGCCATGGTTTTCCCAGTTGCAATGTATGGCTGTGAAAGTTGGACCCTAAGAAAGGCTGAGCGCCAAAGAATGGAGGCCTTTGACCTCTGGTGCTGGAGAAGACTCCTGCGAGTCCCCTGGACTGCAAGGCGATCCAACCGGTCAGTCCTAGAGGAGATCAACCCTGACTGCTCTTTAGAAGGCCAGATCCTGAAGTTGAAACTCAAGTACTTTGGCCCCCTAATGAGAAGGAAGGACTCGCTGGAGAAGAGCCTAATGCTGGAAAGATGGAGGGCAAGAGAAGAAGGGGACGACAGAGAATGAGATGGCTGGATGGAGTCACTGAAGCAGCAGGCGTGAGCTTCAATGGACTCCAGAAGATGGCAGAGGACAGGAAAGCCTGGAGGAACGTTGTCCATGGGGACACGACTTCGCAATTAACAACAACAATGAGAAAAAAGGACTCCCTGGAGAAGAGCCCGATGCTGGGAAAGATGGAGGGCAAGAGAAGAAGGGGACGACGGAGAATGGGGTGGCTGGATGGAGTCACTGAAGCAGCAGGCATGAGCTTCAATGGACTCCAGAAGATGGTAGAGGACAGGAAGGCCTGGAGGAACGTTGTCCATGGGGTCGCGATGGGTCAGACATGACTTTGCAACTAACAACAACAACAACATCTCGGCTTTAGTATTTTCGCAAACGACTCAAGGCGGGCAAACATCTCCAACACGCCTTTCTCCTCAACAGCAACCCTGTGAGGTGGGCTGGACTGAGAGAGAGAGGGATTGACCCTGCTATCATGTCCCCCCTCGTCCTTCTCTTCATTAAACTAGACATACCCAGTTCCAGCAACCGTTCCTTATATGTTTTAGCCTCCAGTCCCCTGATCATCTTTGTTGCTCTTCTCTGCACTCTTTCTAGAGTCTCAACATCTTTTTTACATCGTGGTGACCAAAACGGGATGCCGTATTCCAAGTGTGGCCTTACAAAGGCCTTGTAAAGTGGTATTAATACTTCACGTGATCTTGATTCTAGTCCTCTGTTAATGCAGCCTAGCACTGTGTTGGCCTTTTTGGCAGCTGCAGCACACAGCTGGCTCATATTTAGGTGATTGTCCACTAGGACTCCAAGGTCCCTCTCACAGTTACTACTATTGAGCAAGGTACCCCCTATATTATACCTGTACATTTGGTTTTCCTTGCCTAAATGTATCTGGCTTCCGTTGAGTTTCCGGGCCAGAAGGTTGCAGAAGGGGATCACGTGACCCCTAGGGACACTGCGACCGTCATAAAATAC